GTATGTATGTATGTATGTATGTATGTATGTATGTATGTATGTATGTATGTATGTATGTATGTATGTATGTATGTGTGTAGGTAGGTAGGTAGGTAGGTAGGTATATTAGGAATGTATGTATGTAGGTATGTATGTAAGTAATTGTATGTATGTATGTATGTATAGTAGTTGTGTATGTAGGTAGGTGTGTAGGTATGTATGTATATGTTGTGCATGCAAGATGGCGGCGCCAGTGTGTTCGGCTTGCCTCTCCCTGCATACTTTGATTGTTTTTGTGTTGTTTTTTGCTTTTATAACTAGTGTCGACTCTCTGCTGGTGTATAATCGCCAAACGCTTTTTAATCTTCGACCCGATATTAACAACTTGGCTCCGTTTGTGAATGACAGCCAGAAAACTTTTTTCCCTCCATTTCTGTCGGACGTGCCGGCCTACCTGTGCCGCGCCCCAGCTCCACCAGCGCGCAGAGCGCGCAGACGCCGGGGGAGACGCAGCGGCCAGCTGGTCAGACTGAAAGCTCAGCTGGCGTCCTCCCTATCCGCTCTCTCTGAGTTTGGAGCTGCATCTAATTGTTTTATCTCATGGCGCTCCCTGGATCTCATCAGCTCTTCTCTGGCTCCTGTTGTTGGCCTGGGTGAGGGACAACCTGCGCGATGCCTCCCCCCTCCCCCCCCCCTCGTCCGAGTGCGCGGAGTGAACCACCACAACCTGCTCGATCTGGCTCCTGCGTCGGATCACACCCCGGCTGCTGTTGGCCTGGGTGGGGGGCCGCTGCTGCGCGGCCTCTCCTTTCCTCTCCTCCGCGTCCGCGGAGTGAACCACCACAACCTGCGGCTGCTGGACAGAGCTCCTCGGATGGATGACGTCACCCTGGCTCCATCTCATGTTCACATGGCTCTGGTTAATGCTAGATCTTTAACAAACAAGACCTTTATTCTGAAGGACTTCTTCACCTCCCGTGGTCTGGATTTTTTATTCATTACTGAAACATGGATAACTGCCGGTGAGTCCAGTGCTTTTTGTGAACTCCTGCCACCAAACTGTGCATACTTCAGCTCTCCAAGGACGACGGGTCGTGGAGGAGGAATAGCGACTGTTTACAGGAAGAGCTATTTCTGTAAACAAATCACACCTTTAACATGTTATTCCAGCTTTGAGTTCAACTTGTTTGAGCTCGGATCTTCACAACCCGTACTGTGTGCTGTTTTATACAGACCTCCAAAATACAATAGGGACTTTCTGACAGACTTTGCAGATTTTTTGGCTGGAGTCTTGCCTAAATATGACAGGATCTTGATAGTCGGAGATTTCAACATAGCCGTGTGCTGTGCTGATAAACCGTTGGTCAAAGAGTTTTTACAGCTGATAGACTCTTTTAATTTGCTTCAGTTTGTGTCTGATCCAACACAAGAATGTGGCCACACCTTAGACCTTGTGTTAGCTCACGGTTTTAATGTTTCTAATGTGGAAGTTTGTGATGCTGCCTTTTCAGACCACATGCCTGTTGTGTTTGACATGCCACTCGTCTGTCGCTCAGTCAAACCTCGCGCTCCTGCACAGCCCCGTCGGGTCATTAACTCCTCCACTGCTTCTCAGTTCTCTGCAGCTTTTAGTTCTGCCATCAGCCCCACAGACCCTGTGGGTCTTCATTCAGATATCGATGCTCTCTCATCTAATTTTAACTCAGCCTGTCAAAACGTTTTAGATGCTGTGGCTCCATTAAAAACAAGAGCTTCCAGACCAAAGCCTGACCCCTGGGCTGATGAGGTCACACGATCTGCCAGACGCCAGTGCAGGAGAGCAGAGCGGAAGTGGAAGAAGGACAAACTACAGGTGTCTTTCCAAGCTCTGAGGGACAGCTGGCGCTTCTATCAGTCCACTGTTAGAGCTGCAAAAAAACAAATATTTCTCTGACATCATCTCCTCCAACTCCAGCAATCCACGTGTGCTTTTTAAAACAATCACCTCTGTTCTTAACGCCCCACAATCAGCCAGCCCAGAGAACTCCACTGAAATGTGTGACAACTTCCTGAGCTTTTTTATCAATAAGGTTTCAAGCATTAGAGCTCTCATAAGCCCTCCTTCTTACGACCCCTCCGTCTCCGTCACACGCTCTGCTGTCTTCAGTCAGTTTGAGCTCGTCACCCTGTCTTCCTTAACTGACATCACTGGTCGTATGAAACCTGCTGGATCCCCAAATGATCCCATCCCACCTCGTCTTTTTAAAGAGGTTTTTCACACCGTGGCTCCTCATGTGTCCCAAATTATAAATGACAGCTTGGCATGTGGACAGGTACCAGCGAGCTTTAAACATGCAGTTGTGACACCACTGATTAAAAAACCTAGCCTAGACCCCACAGTAATGTCCAACTTTAGACCCATCTCAAAACTGCCCTTCATATCTAAGATCTTGGAGAAAATTGTTTACAATCAGTTAACATCATACTTAAACGACCACAACCTTCTTGAACAGTTTCAATCTGGCTTTAAAACTCACCACAGCACTGAGTCTGCGCTGCTGAAAGTCTTCAACGACATTCTTTTAGCCGCAGACTCTGGTGACTGTGTAGTTTTAATGTTGTTGGACTTGACTGCTGCCTTCGACACAGTAGACCATCACATCCTCCTGTCTCGTCTGGAGAACTGGGTGGGCATTCAGGGTCCTGCTCTACAGTGGTTCAGATCCTATCTGACAGAAAGAAACTTCTGCGTGCGCATTGGTGCTGTGGAGTCCTCTGTAGCCCCTCTCACTTGTGGAGTACCTCAGGGTTCTATACTTGGCCCTCTTCTGTTTTCCCTGTATCTACTCCCTCTGGGACATCTTCTCCGGAAACATGGCATTTCTTTTCATTTTTATGCTGATGACAGCCAAATCTATGTTCCGTTAAAACAGGGCAAACACCATTCCTTGAAACAACTCCTGGGGTGTATGGCAGAAGTCAGAGCATGGATGTCACTAAACTTTTTACATTTTAATGACAAAAAGACAGAGGTCTTGTTGTTTAAGCCTAGTGAAGGCTCCAATATCCATGCTGATCTGGGTCCTTTAACAGAACATCTGACTGAGACAGCAACTAACCTGGGCGTGAGGCTGGACAGTGACTTCAAACTTGACACGCAGATTAAATCAGTGATCAAGTCCAGCTTCTTTCATTTGAGACAACTGGCCAAGGTCAAACCATTTCTGTCACAACATCATTTTCAGATCTTAATCCATGCTTTCATCACAACTCGCCTGGATTACTGTAATTCTCTTTATGTCGGTCTGAGCCAGTCATTACTGACTCGACTTCAGCTGGTTCAGAACGCAGCTGCCCGCCTTTTAACTGGTACCAAAAAACGAGAACACATCACCCCTGTTTTAGAATCACTACATTGGCTCCCGGTTCGCTTCAGGATTAATTTTAAGGTTCTTTTATTTGTTTTCAAATGTCTTCATGGTCTCGCCCCACAGTATCTGTCCGACCTGCTCCAGCTGTACACTCCTTCTCGCTCTCTCAGGTCAGCAGATCAGCTGCTGCTGGTCGTCCCAAGGTCCAACAGGAGACTGAGAGGTGACCGAGCGTTCTCAGTCGCTGCCCCTAAACTGTGGAACGAGCTGCCTCTGCATGTCAGACAAGCTGGCTCACTTCCTGTTTTTAAGTCTTCTCTGAAGACACATCTTTTCTCTTTGGCTTTTACTTCAGTTTGAAATGTTGGTTTTAATGACTCTAAGTTATTTGTTTTATTTTATTTGTTATCTTTATTTTATTTCACATTTTTAACGTGTGGGGTTTTTATGTTTTTGTATGTCCTAGTGTACAGCACTTTGGCCAACAGTGTTGTTTTAAAGTGCTCTATAAATAAAGTTGTATTGTATTGTATTGTATTGTATGTATGTAGGTTTGTATGTAGGTATGTATTTATGTAGGTAGGCATGTATGTAGGTAGGTAGGTACGTAGGTACTTATATATGTATGTACGTTTGTATGTATAGTAGTTTTGTATGTAGGT